GCAGAAGGCAAAAGAGAAGAAAAAGAAAAGTTAGGGGAGTTTGGAGTTTTTTAAAGATAACTTCGTCAGTTTTGGGTTTACAAGCTTGAGCTATAGCTTGTTATGACGGGGCTGGTGAGCTCTTTAAGTTATCTTAGACTTGAGGAAGGAATTAAGATAACAGTTATAAAGTTATTTGCAAGTTTTAAGAAAAAGGGCCAGAAGGTCGTTTTTCAGTAAGTTTGAAAGATTTAAAGCTAGTACTTGAATATAATATATATTTTTGTATAAAGAACATGTTTATTTAAGAGCAAAATTAAGGTTAACTTAGTAAAAAGAAAGTTATTAGCTGTTTTTTAGATAATTAAATTATAAAAAATTTGTATACGGATGATAAACGGAGAGAGTTCTTCTTCATTTTTTGCTCAGCAAATATAATATTATATAGTGAAAAGATTAAATAAATGTAATCACCCTGGGCAATTAGGATTATTTATATTTACAAGATCAATGTCTATAAAGATCTAACACTAATGCCATTGGTGTTAGCATGCTTTAGGGTTTTCGTATTTTAAACAATCTAAGAAAAAATAAAAAGTTAAATCGAAGTAATAATGATAAAATGCACATTAAAAACTTACAAAAAATACATTAAATCCTTGTTAATTTGAATTCAAGATTAAACTGATAATACATATAAATATTCACTTAGGTTATTATTTTATAATTTGATTTATTGGTTCAAATAGAAAATAAAGTAATACTTCAAGTTTTTGAATAAATCACAAAAGAGAATTGAAGTATTAAAAAAATCCTTCATATAGAAATTTGTGCAAAAATGATAAATCCAATTATTGTTAAGTAGTCGAAGAGTAAATCTGAACTTTAAAAAAATTTTAAAATAATTAATAGATCAATTAACAATAACTTTTTATTAAAAATTAATTATTACCTTTATATTATTCAGAATCAAGTCTATATTTTTTAGATTTTTTAAAAAAATTTGGAGTTTTATTAATAGTAAAGTAAAGTTGTCGATTCTCGTGCTTTAAAATTTCTAAAATTGCAGATCACTGTGAATTTTCATGACCTCCATCTTTTAATGTATTTTGAAAATACCGACAAACTTGTAAATGATTTTTTTTTTCGACAGCGGAACATGAGAATGCAGCTAGTCCAAAATCATTATGAATATCTAAAAACTCAGGTACATGATTTACCAATATGTGGATATAAGTGTAACATCCTGTATATAATACATTTCCCGAATAAAATTGCTTTTATTGCTAAGAAAGATATTAACCTATTTTGTGCTTTTTTACGAAATACTCTTCCTGTAGTGTTTTTATTTTGCATTAGATTGTACAATTCATAAAATTGACTTCAAAGATTTTGAACTTGTATTGCTCGAGTAGTTGATTGAAAAATTGCTATAAGATTAAAATTTTGTAAAATTTTTAACTTGTTGAGACCCATAAGCGAAGTATATGATAAATTGTTGCTACTTTTTTCATTCCAAAATTGAAATGCTACTTTAAGTCATTTCATTTCATCTAAAATTTTTGCTCGCCAAATCATTTCTTCAACTTGTTCTTGACCAAGATCAGATAACATTAACTCCTATAAACGATCGGTTATTCTTAAAAAAATATGTAACTCGTCACAAACCCAGTTGTAAAGAGGATCATATAAAATAAAGGTTCATTTAAATGACCATTCATTTTAGAATAATTAATTTTAACTATTTCCATAGATTTAGTAATTTGCTTATTCGTATCACTAATATTTGCTTTAGAACAATCACACCACGGACAAAATGTTTAGCATTAGCAGCTTTCATTCCAAGACATGTAGCTAAAAATTTCCAATCTGAGCTAAAGTACAATTTAACTGGCCATTGATTACCATTAAGTTGCCAAAAACTCTTTTCTTGTAATATTTGAAGGTCTAAAATTAATGGTGCAAGTGCATTTTTTAAAGATTCATAGGTTTTAGAACCCAGATATAAAATAAGAGTATGATGATTGTCTGGTTTTTGTAATCCTGTTAAATCATTTAACAATATCATAGTCACCATTACGTGCTTTACTTTTCATTCAACATTCTTTCCATCTCCGGAAATCCAGATATGTAAAGTTGATACATTAGGAATTAAAATATTTTTTTTGATATAAAAAGGTATGATATAATTTAAAATATCTGTAATACGTCGCTGTCCTCCTTTTCCAATTGATTCTAATATATTTGTAACAATATCTTATTAATAATATCTGGTGTATTTTCAATTTCCTCAAAAACTATTGGTTGCAAAATATCTACGAGTGAAAGTGGAATTTGCTTTTTCATTTTTAAATTTATTTTTTGCTTTATATCAGATACAGCACCCTCACGTGGAATTTCATACTCAATTCGTGCTAATGATTGATAAGCATCTCTTGTTATTTGTCCACAATCCAATGATTTTACAATTGCTTCTTTTTGTTCATTTTCACTTTTTTAATCATATTTTCCAAAACTAATATCAAACTGTTCATCTCCGATTTCAAACTGAATTCGTTTAATTTTTATATTGTCATAAGAACAAAAAAATTTTTTTTTTTCTTCTTTAACTGTATTTAAAACTTGATATACTATTTTTAATACTTTATACCATTTTGTTAAATTACTAAGATCTTTAAAAGGATGAATTTTTGGATTACAATCAAGTGATAAAGTTTGGTGTATATTTTTAACACTAAGTAATGTTAAACCAAACAATAAAGGTCCAGAGATCTTTGAAATTTTATTATTTCTATTAGTTGTTTTTGTATTTGTTTGCGCTTTTATTTTATTTAGCTTCTGTTTTATATCAAATAAAAAAAAAATTATAATAAATATATAATTAAAATACTATAAAAATTAATAAAAAAAAAACATATACCTTATAATATTGACATGCTGCATCAGTTGCAGATTTAAAAGATTAAACTTTTGATGTAAAATTTAATCCAAACTGAATAATAAACTGTGGCTTTTTATTTTTGTATTGTATAGGGCATTTTGTAAGATGTTTTGCTTTACCATGTTGAGTTTTAATGATATAATTATTAGGAATTGGATGTTTAGAGTATTTTGTATAATAACATTGATTAGAAAGTGGATATGTTCCTTCTTTAATAATATTACAATAAAATGTTCTATTTTTATCAAAAAGTTTAATAAATGGACTTTGAGAATAATTGCTTTCTTCTTTCATAATTACTTATATTTTTAATATGCTAAAGTTAATTTATAAAACAAATTAAAGTTTTCTGTTTTAATACTTAAAGTGGTGGATACGAATTACTGTACTATAAAATTTTTTAATTGGTTAATGATTTTCAAATTTTTACATGTCCCTAATTCGGACTAATTCAGAAATAACAAACTAATTTGGGGGTCTTATTTCAATTTTAGGGTTTGAATCAAACATACCAATATGGGATAAACAGCAGTTGAAGAGGGCAATGAGAGAAGAGGTATAGGAGTGGTTGAGGTGTTTAATTATTTCGTAACTTAGTGATTGGACTCATCAAAAAAACACCACCCAGGTCATCTACGGGTGGACCCATGACCCATCCAGGTAGAACTCAGGTAGGTTAAAAAAAGCAACCCATCAGGTGGCAAAATATAATTAGTCAATTTTTATCAAATAAATATATAGCAATATGTAATAGATTTTTTGCCTTTTTTCTTTGAACCTTATTCGATTTTTTTTAGATTTTCTTAAATGTTCAATATGTAAATTATAGTAATTTTTTTATTTTATAAAGATATTTATTTATTAAATATATTATATTTTTTAGTTACAGATAATATTGAATGCTACGTAGATTTCTAATATTCAGATAAAAGACTTTAAGACCAAATATTTTTATTTATTTTTTTTTTTTAATCCTTTGACAGCCTTGTTAGTACTTAAATACAAATATTTATATAGTGAAATCTGTCTTAAAACAAACCCTATTTCTAGTAAATATTCTTTGCAATTGCAAGCCTGGTATTATCTGGCTACAGATGTTGTACCCAGATGTGACTTGTCACACTGACTCACATATGTGTCAGGTAACCTTGTTAGCTCTGTCAAGAACCAAACCAGAATAGTTTTACTCTATTCAAGACCAAATATTTAAATATTGACTATTTTGCTTTACAAATAATAATTTGTTTACTATTTCAGGTAATAGGCAAACTCTTTTAGGGGTAATTTGATTTCCTATATCTGAGAAAAGCTGTTCGCTTGGAATAGAAGTAGCAGGAATTGACAGATATTTACGGGCCATTCTACTTAAAGTGAGAAAAATATTTTGATTTTTGCACCACTAACTATAAATATCAGCAGTTTCAGATAAAACTGGTACAATTGACTTATTCAAATAGTTGTCAATTTCAGCTTTATCATCTATCTTACTTTTACCTTTACAACTACTGCCACCAAATACTTTTTTCATAAAATAAAGTGCAGGTGTCAAATTAGTTCTCTTATTAGATTCTTTCAAACCTTTAGCTATAATTGTATTTTTCCAATTTTTAAATTTATCATACAATTTATTGGTTGCTTCATCTCGTGTTTCACTTTCCTATACTTCTATCAATTTTAATCATGGATCTAGTAAGGTTGAAATCAATCTAATATCTTCCAAGCCTTGCCAATAGCACTAAAGAGAGTTATAAATAATCTCCTAAGTTTTGAGATAGTTTGTTCAGGTAAGAATGGCACTTTATTATTTTCAAAATTTTCATCATTAGACAATTCATCTAAGTTTTTTTTAAAAAAGAAAAAAAAAATTAAAAGCTGCTTATAATTAGGTCTTAATAAATTGTTTTAAGCTATTTATTTACTATATTCAAAATTAATAATTTCTTCATAATCTTCTGAATCTAGTAGAGAATCTTCAGTATATTCAAATTTCAGTGCTTCAATATTTGGGTTGATAACTGAAAGTGTAGTATATTTAATTCCACTAAAGTAGGTTGTTAATTCTTCAAAAGGCTCAAATGCCCCTATTAACATTTCCAAAAACTCTCATTCATTATCTTCAAGCATACATTTTTTTAATCTATCAGAATCTTCTTTGGCACCATCTTCATTCTTTAGGTGTAATGTTGCCGAAAACCACTCAATCACTGAAAATAATTTTAAAAGCCTTTGCTAAGATTGATAAGCTAAGTTCTAACATATTTTTATGTCCTCAATAGTATGCAAGATAAATTTTGGTTCTTTATTTATTTCTAACTCTTTACTTTCTTCTTTTTTAGGTGAGTCTTCAGCAATATTTTCAAAATTATAAATTCGAATAATAGGCTTTGTAATACTTTTTTGATGGTTTAAGGTAACTTGTACCTCATCAAGACATTGACTTTGCTTTGAAGATCAAAAAAAATTAATGAGCTTACGAATTTTATTGGTATATAGATGTATAAATTTTAGGGCCTGAACAACTATAAGTTGGATTATATGTGCAGCACAATGCAGCCGATTTACACTATTTCAAAGTCTTATTTCTTTCTTCATATTTGCCCTATTGTCTGTTATTATGCAAAGAATTTTTCTAACTAATCTGAATTTCTCAACTTTTGCATTTAGGTATTCTTTTATCCATTCATCTGTGTGTGGATGATTAAATTTTTCAACAGCGAGTAATTCTTCACGTAATTCAAATTTAGGTGTTAACCAATGAAGAGTTATACCAATATATCTATCATTACTTTGAGCTGTTTATAAGTCAGTAGTTATGGATGCTGTTTCACAAGTAGTGGAAAGTAAGTTTTTAAGTTCTTTTATACCCTTTTGATAAGCAATCTCAAT